ACATCAAGAGTAAAATTGAGTTCTCAGACAAACAAGTAAAAGCAGCAAGTAAACACATGAAAAAATGTTCCACATCACTGGTCATTTGAGAGATATAGATGAAAACAACACTAAGATTCTACCTCACCCCAGAAAGAGTGGCTGCTATCAAGAAATCAACCAATAACAAATGCTGGTGGGGCTTCGGGGAGAAAGGAACCCTTCTCCATTGTTGGTGGGAGTGCAGACTGGTGCAACCACATGGAAGTAAATATGGAGATACCTCAAAGAACTAGGATTAGAGGTCTCATTTGATCCAGGCATCCCTCTGCTGTATCTTCCCAAAAGAATTAAAACAATCATACCACAATGATATATTCACACCCATGTTTATAGCGGCACAGTTAGTAATAGCTAAAATTTAGAAACAGTCCAAATGCCCATCAGCTGGAGCCTGGATAAAGATGTGGTTTGTAAAATGGAGTACTACTCAGCCATAACGAATGAGACTAGAGACATTTATAGCTAAATGGATGCACATTGAGGCTATACTCTTAAGTGAAATAAATCAGACACATGAGTAAATACTGAATAGTTTCTCTGGTGTGAAAAACAAAGTGTAAATAAGGTTCAAATGATACAATTGATAGTATGAAATAGGAAGAAAATGGCTAAAGAGGAAGTGGGAAGGGGAGGGGAAAGGAAATACGAGAAAAGAAAAAAATTGAAAAAATTGAAAAATGGAAACAAAGTCTTTGTAGATAGGGAAGGGTGGAGTGGGTGAAGGGTGGGCTGGGGTATGGGGAAAAAATAAGAACCAAGACACGTCATGTAAAAGTACAAGATCCCAATGATAAATTTAACTGTATTGTTTGCTTTAAATGTACGAATAAACTTACTCGGGGGGAAAAAAAGAAAATTGGAACTAGGGTTTTAGCTCAGTGGTTCCAGAACCTGCCTCACAAGTACAAGGTCCTGAGTTCAGTACCCAATTTTTTTTAAAAAAAAAGGAATAAAATTCATGATGAGCTGGATGGTCATGTGTTTTCTCTATCACTGTTTCAGATTTAGATAAGACTCACCCAGTTCTACATAGTTAACTTGCTGCCCATGATAAGGAGACTTGTATGTATTATTTTTGTTGTTTTGTTGGTACCAGATACTGAACTGAAGACCTTGTGCTTGGAGGCAAGCAAGGAGACTTGTATGTAAAGAAAACTTACTTTTTGTTCACTTAGAATATTATAAGGAGGGCCCGGGGATTTAGCTCAGTGGTACCGCCGCCTGCCTTGCAAGCCCAAGGTCTTGAGTTTGATCCCTGATACCAAAAAAAAAAAAAGGGGGGATATTATAAGGAATTACAGAGGTGCCTCAGCACTTGCTGTCAATTGGTTCTGGGGAGTGCCATGAATACCAGAATCACCAAGTACCAAACTATTTTGACTGGAAAGGGTAGTGAGAAAGTAGGCAATCAGTACCGTCGAGTTATAGCTTGTATGTCAAGTACCAAATGATGAATATGAGGACAAGTTTTTGTGTCAAAATACAGTTACCAAATTTTAAGAGTTTCAAAGAAGTTGAGTGCTAAGGTATAAATGTATGTAATTCTCTGATCTCTTTCAGAAAAAAAGAGAAGAGAGCACTAGACTAAAGGAAGAAGGAAATGAACAATTTAAGAAAGGGGGTAAGATAACTTTTAGTGCTCATGTGTGGTTGTCTTGATTCTTATATTGTTTTAAAGTCTGTGAAAACATAGCAAAGAACATTTGGAAACAACTAGCAAACTTGAGCTCTTCCCAGTACACTGTTGCCTTGATAGCTGGAATTTTGTCTTTTTACCAGCTCCAAATCATTCTCACCTGGTGGTACTCGGTTACCATATGTCTCTGTGGCACAAGCCTAGTTGTTTTATTTTATTTCTTCCTTTATCAGTCCGCAAATCAGGGGTAAAACTCTTTGCTACTGCCTTGGAAAACATTAACCTTACTGTGTCACTGTAAAAGAAGAGTCCCCATTTCTCAAGTGCTGCAGTGCTGTGAAAATGGGCCCAGCCACTGCAGACTAGGAAAGTACTTGTTCTTGGTTGTTCTTCAATATGATTTTCCCCCCTTTGGTAGTGTTAAAGCTCTTAGTTGTTATAACAAAATACTTGAGGCAGGCTAATTTTATAAAGAGAAGAGTTTATTTAGCTCACAGTTTGGGAGTGTGAAAATGCAAGGAACATTGTAGTCCTCAGGTAAGTGCCCCATGGTAGATGGAGAGAATCTGTGCAAGAACTGACTATCTTTCAAAATAGGAAGCCAGAGAGAGACCCCAGGGTAAGGCTGCAGTTATTAGAACAACCTGCTGTTCTGAGAAGTCACTGCAGGGGACCCGTGTTCCCATTCCAGGATGGCTCCTCCAGTGACCTGAGGGCTGCATCTTAAAGGTTCCACTTCCAAGTGTCTCATACTGAAGACTGGAGCTCCTGAAAGTAAAACTGTGGAGGGAGAAATGACATCCAGATGTAACAGATGCCTTAACTGCATTTCCTGCATTTACTTAGCAGTAGGTTGGAGTGCATTACAATAATTTAGAGAAACTACTGTATTGATCTTATAACAGCCTTCTGTTACATCTCAAAGTGGATGTGCTTTAGAAATCTTAGGAGTATTAACATTTTCCCCCAGTTATTTTTAGGTTTACATTTTTTTTTCCTCGTATCCTGATTTGGCAGTCTTCACTTCTTTTTTTTTCTAACAGAACTAATGGTTCTAATGGCACATTAGTGTTAAATGTTTTAAGCCCAAGAAAGGAGTGAAGAAACAATATTTTCTTAGTATCCAGAGTATAATTGTATATATAATAATATATCAATGATTGTGTATTTTCTCTTTTAAGATCTTTAGGTGTTACTTTTTAGGTATTTCACCTCCACAATGTATCTGTACAAGTGTTTCATGGGTACAGTTTTAAAGTGTAATAGTTGTAATGAAAATATATACATAGGGTTTTTCCCCCCTCCACCCCTGGGTCTTGAAGGTAGGGCCTTGCATGCACCAGACAAGTGATTTGCCACTGAGCTACACCCCTGTCCCTAGAATTTTTGTTTGTTTGTTTGTTTGTTTGTTTGTTTGTTTGAGACAGGGTCTCGCTATGTAGTTGAGATTGACCTGGAACTCACTATGTAGCCCAGGTTGGTCTTGAACTTAACAGCGATCCTCCTGCCTCAGCCTCCCGAGTGCTGGGATTACAGGCGTGTGCCACCATGCCCGGCTAGAATTGTTTTTTTTTCTTTATGCATGAGTCATGGATCCCACACTGTAGCTTCTTTCACCTGTCCAGTTCCTTAACCCCTTTGAAAATCCCTTTCTTATCTTCTAACCCACACGAAAGCTGAACATCTAGAGCAGTGGTGGTGAACCTGTGGCACGCGTTCCGCAGCCAGCTTTTGTTATCATTGAAAGCCCTGAGAGGTTTGCCATCTCTGCTCTGGAGTGGGCTACTCCTGTATCGTGTCCTCTCTGCCAGCAGCACATTCAGCCATTGTTTCTCACATGCCCTGTAAGACCACACAAAGAAATATTGTTTCTGTGGAGAGGGAAAAGGAAGAAAGGGTTTGAAACCTTTTGTCTTGAGAATGGAAAGTTATGCATTCTGAGATTCTGTGGAACACAGTGTCAGAAATAAAATCTTGACTGCTTGCTCTCCCTTATCGTTAGATTATGTAGAAGCTGAAAGTTCCTACAGCCGAGCCCTTCATATGTGCCCATCATGCTTCCAGAAGGAGAGATCTGTTCTGTTTTCAAATAGAGCGGCTGCAAGGATGAAACAGGTGTGAATCTTGGACCTTTTCTTTTTAAAAAGCACATGATCTTGCTGCGGGTGGTGGTGCATGCCTGTAATCCCAGCACTTGGGAGGCTGAGGCAGGAGGATCTCTGTGAGATCGATACCAGCCTGGGCTACATAGTGAGTTCCAGGTCAGTCTCAACTCATAATGAGACCCTGTCTCAAAAAAAAAAAAAAACAAAAAAAAAAAAGGCACATGACCTTGCAGTGTTTCGTAGGGTAGTCTCTTTCCAAAAACCAGCCTTAGGGCTTAAAGTTTGTTTTTCTTTTCCTGTATCTGTATTTCCTTGATATAAAGGCTGCAAGGAGAGTGGAATATTTTGGACTACTCTTAACCCTCCTTGTATTAAAGTACTTGAGTGAATACTTGCATGGAAGGAAGGCTGATAAGTTTCCACTGAATGAGAGCAAGTTATGGAAGCATGAAGCCAAGTGCTGCATACTTTAGACCTCTGGAATTCTAGATGAAGACTCACCGTCACAGGGAAATACTGATAAAACTCTAGAGTTAAAGATACTTAGTCCTAAGACTGCTTTTTCTGTGAAAATCCAAACACTGACAGAAATATCCAGTAATTAGAATGAAAAACCCTCTTAAATGCAGAGTAGGTGTCAGGGAAAGTTGCTCTTTGCATTTCCAAGAAATTGAGAAGTGGCAGAGGGTGAATGTAGCTTAGGTAAAAGTAGAAATGCGTTTGTTTATACGGTGTTGGTACTAATAATGAAATGTGTTGACAGTGGGTCTGAATTTCTTCTCTAGTCAGTTTAATTAGTTTAGCTATATTTAAATGAGTAATTTGAAAGACAACGCTGCCATTTGTGTAGCTACTACTGCCGACCTCTGGAGTCACCTGTTCTGCAGTGGGTAGATTATCTAGCTGGCATACATGTAAGCAGTCACAAAGCTGGCTCAAGATAGGTGAAAGTGGGGTTTTTCTGGTTTGTGTTTTTAGATCAGGTATTTACCATCACTTTTTGATTGTGCCTGAAATTCTCAAGTGCTTCCACCAAACTCAGTTTGGGTAACCCAGGTTTTTTTGTTTTAAAGACCCTCTGGTGGGGAGGAGAATGTGTGCTTGAATGTTTGGATGTACAAAAAGGTTTTGTTTTTGTCTGGAACTTAAATTGGCTTTAGTCTCTAAGGTAGACTATTTTTGGAATGTTTGATGTGCAAGAAAGAAGAAATAATTTTATGGAATTTACAGACCAACATTTTGTATTAGGAAAAATAAAATAATTATTTAAGTTTATTTTAAATTGTATTTGCGGGCCGGGGATTTAGTTCAGTGGTTCCATCGCCTGCCTCAAAAGCACAAGGTCCTGAGTTCTATCCCTGGTACCAAATAAATAAATTGTATCTGTGCCAGGCATGGTGGCAACGGTGCGTGCCTACTATCCCAGTGGCTTGGAAATTTGATGCAGGAGGATTGTAAATGGGAGGCTGGCCTGGACGTGTATGGGACACTGTCTCAAAATTTTAAAAGGGGATGGGGATGTGGCTCAGTGGTTGAGCCCATCCGCAAGGCGTTGGGTTTAATTCTCAGCACTGCAAAAATAAATTTTTTTTAATGTGAAAAATCTGGTCCAAGTATGGTGGCACACGCTGTAATCCTAGCATTTAAGATGCTGAGGCAGGAGAATCTCCATGAGTTCAAAGCCAGCCTGAACTACATACATAGCAAGACCTTGTCTCAAAAACAAAACAAAAAATTTTAATCAATTAACTAATGTAATCGTAACAGTGATCAGAATTTAATCTCAACAGTTTTTTGTTGTTGTTGTTGTTTTTTGTTTGTTTGTTTTGGGTTTTTTTGGTACCAGGGATTGAACTCCGGGTCCTTGCGCTTGCAAGGCAGGCCACTGAACCACTGAGCTAAATCCCTGGTCCCACTCAACAGTTTTTATACATAGCTTAAAACTTGTAATATTTTTGCCTCTGCTCCTGTGTCTCACCACATTGCCAGACTGGACACTGATGCTATAAAGTGTGACTGAGGGCACTTTCATTGTCAGAGGAAACGCACAGCATCCACTTGGTTCCTGGGGGTTGGGGATTCTTTATTTCCACAGTAGCCTAAGTCAGTGATACTTCCAGGCTTGGCCTATCATTACAGACTTGTTCTGATATTTTTTTCAGTCGGGGTGTCACTCTGCAGCCCAGGTTGGCGTTGAACTTGGCCATCTTCTTGCCTCTTCCTCATGAGTTTAGTGAGTTCACAATGCCTCAGCTAGTTCTGAGTCAAGAAAACATACCGTTTTGGTTGTCTTTTGTCTATGAACTTGAGAATTCAAAAGGGCATTGCTATGTTATTGTTTCCTATGCAAAAGATTGGTTAGAGTGAGTTTTGGGTTTTTAAGTTGCACTTTTGATACTTAAAGATCTTAACAGACTAGAAAGATACCAAGATTAGTACCTTGATAAAATTAAAGGAGCATGTTCTGTATTTTCCAAGAAAATGATGAGTGAACTACTTAAGTACAGTTTCAGAAAGATAGATTAGCACACTCGACATCCCTGACTGAATGCCCTGTATTTTATATGAGGACAGAAAAAGCAAGCCCAAGTTAGAGCACAGTTTTAACTCTAGGTCAAAGTTGTATAAATTCTTCATCTCTTAGTGCTTTTAATATATTAATTGGTATGGTGAACATTGGAATACAAATGACCCTGGAAAATTTTGGGGTTTGTTTTTTATGGTAAAATACATAAAACATAAAATTGACCATTTTAACCATTTTAAGGCACACAATTCAATGGCATTAAACACCTTCGCAGAACTGGGCCTGTTGATGCATCCATGTATCCCCAGCACTGAAGAGGCTGAGGAAGGAAGATCACAAGTTCAAGGCCAGCCTGGACAGTATAGTGAGACTACGTGTAAATGCCCCAGTTCACCAAGATAAGTGTAACTAACTTTGTATCACAGACGTAGAAAAATCCATGAGAAGCAGTAAAAAACATGAGCCAGGAATTTAGCTCAGTGGTTCCACCGCCTGCCTCACAAACACAAGGTCCCAAGTTTGATGCCCAGTACCAAAAACAAAACAAAACAAAACTTCACAGTATTAGGCAACCGTCACTATTGTCTAGTTCCAGAACTTTTCCAAAGCCCTAATAGATATCTTGAACTTAATAAGTAGTCCCTCACCATCCTGAAAACAGAACTGTTTTTTGTTTTGTTTTGTTTGTTGGTTGGTTTTTTATCTTTTTTTTTTAACTAGGATTAGAACTCAGGCCCTTGTGCTTGGGAGGCAGGCGCTGGAACCACTGAGCTAAATCCTCAGCACCAGAACTGTTTTTGATTGAATCTTGAAACAGAATTTTATGACGTTGCTCTAAAAATATTCTGGAAAATATAAAGAACTCAAAACATTCAGCTCCCCCAAAATAAAGACCCAGTTCAAAAATGGGCATCTGAAATGAACAGACATTTCTCAGACAGAGAAGTCAAAGCAGCAAGTAAATATATGAAAAAATGTTCCACATCACTGGTCATTCAAGAGACGCAGATGAAAACAACACTGAGATTCCACCTCACCCCGCAAAGAATGGCTGCTATCAAGAAATCAACCAATAACAAATGTTGGCGGAGTTGTGGGGAGAAAGGAACCCTTCTCCCTTGTTGGTGGGAGTGCAGACAGGTGCAGCCACTGTGGGAATCAATATGGAGATACCTCAAAGAGCTGGGACCAGAGGTTCCATTTGACCCAGCCATCCCTCTGCTGGGTATCTTTTCAAAAGAATTAAAGGAATCATATCACAGTGATATATGCGCACCTATGTTTATAGTTGGCGTAGTTTGTAATAGCTAAAACTTGGAAACAGCCCATTTGCCCATCATTTGGAAATTGGATAAAGAAGATGTGGTTTTTCTGTAAAATGGAATACTACTCAGCCATAAAGAATGAGAAATTAGAGTCATTCATAGTATGATACGTTTTGAGGATATCCTCCTAAGTGAAATAAATAAGTCACACATGTGTAAATACCAAATAGTTTCTCTGGTGTGAAAAGCTATAATAGTACATAAGATCCTAATGAAATAATTAACCATGTAAAATAGGAAGAAAAGGGTTAATGGTGTAGGGAAAGGTAGGGGAAAGGTAATAAGGGAAAAGAAAAAAATATGACAAAATGGAAATATAGTGTTTGTAAATGGGGAGAGGAGGAGGGGGTGAAGGGAGGGCAGGGACAAGGGGGAAAAAATGAGAACCAACACCTATCATGTAAAGGTACAAGATCGCAATAATAAATGTAATTGCATTGTATGCCTAAAATACTCAATAAACTCAATTTAAAATTACCAATTAAAATTACCAATTGAATTACCAATAAACTCAATAAAAGAAAAAAAAACAAATATTCTGGAAAATATTTAGTATTTGCTATAATAAATTTATGGGAGTATTGAACATTTATTTGAACTAATTTTTATATAATGTAGAAAACTTCTAATTTGTATAAACCAATGTTTTAGAGCATAACATGTAGCATCGAGTCTAGCTGTAAGCAGTAGGCAGTGCCAGAGCTGGGCCAGGTTCCAGTTCTTCTGACATTCAGTGTCCCTGCTACCGTGCTGTGTTTCTACACTCAGCAAGTTCAGTTAGGGAGAGATTTCATTTGGTGAATTGTTAACATTTTTGTCTCATCGGTGGATAAGTTGATAGTGATAACTGAGACTAAAGGACAAACTGTACTGGCTGTAGGTGGACCATCTATGTATATGCTTTTTGGAAAAGTCCACATTATGTGTGATGTAACAAGTAGCCAGAGAGGATGGTAACTAATCCATTTCTTCATTTATCAGTTGCTCTGTTTATTGACCACATAGTTTTCTCATTGCCCACATTCTAATGTAACAAGTCTTTAAAAATCTAGTAAGTCAGGCCAGGGATTTAGCAAAAAAGGAATAACTCAGAACAGTCTTCAAGGAAAAGAAGCTACTAGAATATTTGTTACCAGGCGGATATTAGGTCAGAGTCATTGATTTTGGATTTAATGCATATTTTCATGTGATTTCTTTAAAAAGCATTCTGTATTTCCATGAGCAATTTTTTTTTCCATGAGCAATTGTTAATGATCATGTCAGTGGGCACTTGAGCCACTAAGATAAATTTGGGGTAGTATTATTAATGTTTGTGTTCCTTTTAGGATAAGAAGGAGATGGCCATTGGTGACTGCAGCAAAGGTACAACTTTTTTTTTCCTTCTACTTGTTAACATTCATGACTGTTACTTCAGCTACACAGATAACAGGGGCTTTTGGTCAGAGGTGCATAAGAACTTCTGTATCCTTCCTCTGGGGCTTTATAGTTCAGCATTTTCAGATGACCATACAGTGTCTTACAGTAAGCATACGTTTGTTTGTTTGTTTGTTTGTTTGTTTTGTACCAGGGATTGAACTCGGGTCTTTGCACTTGCAAGGCAAGTGGCAGAACCACTGAGCTAAATCCCTGGCCCAGTAAGCATACTTTTGAATGGATGGTTCAGCCATTTTCTACTGCTTTAGTGAATATGTGAAGAACAATTCAAAGCTATCTTTTTTCTTTTTTTCCTACATCTATTCTCTTTAAAAAATTTCTCAATGAATTTTAAGTACATGAAATGCACTAATTTCAAATATATTTTAAAGTATATGTGTCTGTATCAGTTTACAACAGTAAAACTACCACTCACATCAAGATACTGAACAGTTAAAGGTACAAGATCCCAATAATGAATGTAACTGTACTGTATACCTAAAATATAGCAGTAAACGCAAGGGAAAAAAAAATATTGAACAATAATCTGACATGTGAATGACACATAGTCTCTTACATGTGAAATATAATATCCTTGCTTTTGCTTGATAGAAGTGTTGCTTTCCATTTCTGTGACCTAAAGAGTTTCTATGACCTTTAAACCCTTTTAACCTTTGTATCATACAAATATGAGCATCTCAGATCAGAAATTGATTATTTTACTGAGTTTGGATTTTATTAGGCGGGAATTTAACTAGTTTATCAGATAATTCATGACTCTCTTAGTATCTGTTATGCTGATTTAATGCTTCCTTGGTGTTTTTCTTTGGTTACTTTTTATTGGTTTTTCACATCTTTTAGTGCTGGAAACTTGGAATGTATATATGCTGTTTTTGTGCACAACTCAAGGGCAGATGACTTATATGATCCACCATCTGATGCAGTAATCCCTAGTTTTCCCAATTTAGTATATCAAACGTATCTACCCCTCTGCAGCCAGTGTTTTGGAAATTTTTTTCTTACATTATCAGTATTAACATTGTGAATTTACCGGTTTTCTTTTGTTTTGTTTTGTTTTGTTTTTTGGTACTGCGGATAGAACTCAGGACCTTCGCTTTCGAGGCAGGTGGTGGAAGTACTGAGCTAAATCCCAGCCTTGCCAGTCTTTTTAAAAGTGAAATAAAAGTACCATTTTCTAGTTTCATCAGATTAACATTTAGAATGTCTTTACTGTACCTGTTCTGACCTGTCCACAGTGACAAAGGACTTTTATCTAACATACATTTGGCCTCAGGACATGCATGTATTGCTGGCACCTTTCAAAGGGTTGGCCTCCCTCCTACTCCTATTTCATATTCTCTGAGCACTGTCTTCATTTACATGTACATCACTTTGCCCACAGCACTCTCACTGTGTGAGATCATTGACCTGTGTGGCAGCCTGCTCTCACTGTAACTAAAATAGAAGAAAGCTATTACAACAAGGACTTCATCTTCTTTACCACAATACTCCTGACATACTAATTAGATACATAGATTAACTACTAATAATTGTTGGCTAAAAGCATGACTAAAAGAAAATTAAGGGAATATTATATAAAGAGACAAGGATGTTTTAGAGCCAGGTCGTTGCTACCTCATAGAAAAAGAAACAGTTTAGAAAGAATAGAAGAAGTACAGTATGTGTAATCAAAACCCAGCAGAGGTAGTTAGGCCTGGTGCTACATACCTATAATCCCAATACTTGGGAGGCTGGAGCAGGAGAATTGCTGTGAGTTTGAGGCCAACCTGGGCTACATAGCGAGAGACTTATCTCAAAATAAAGAGGGGGAAAGAAAGGAAAACAAAAAGATTATTAGGGCAATTTTTTCTTTCTTTTCTTTTCTTTGTTTTTTTTTTTTTTCCGGTTTGTTTGTTTCGTGTCAAGAGTTCGATCTTGGGTCCCTGCGCTTGCAAGGTAGGCGGCAGAATGACTGAGCTAAATCCCCGGCCCAGGGAAATTATTTCTGAGTAGAAGAAAAGGTCTTTTGCACCCTGACCAAAAGGTACCAAAGCAATAGTGTGAAGGAACTGTAAGAGGTGAACTAAAAATATAACCTTGGTAGTTGCATCCTAGAAAAGAGAATGGTAGGACTGTGCCACCAGATGGTTTCCTTCAGCTCCACACACTTTTCTGTCTCATTAATCTGCTGTGCACTTAATCTCAGTGTCTGGCCCATTCTGAACTGGGTAAAAGATAAGTCAACAAAAAGCAGGACTTGGAATGTAGCCCAGAGTTTGGCAAATTAAACCATAAGCCAAATCCATCCTGCCACCTATTTTTATAGTCTACCAACAAGGAATGATTTTTACATTTTTAAAGTCTAGATTAACCCCAAAGAAAAATAGTATTTTATGATATGTGAAAATTATTTGAGCCAGGCGTGGTGGTTAACACCTGCAAACCCAGCAGTTGGGATGCTGAGGTAGGAAGATCTCCAGGAATTCAAGGCCAGCCTGGGCCACACAGTGAGTTCTGGGCCAGCCTGGACTACATGGCAAGACCCTGTCTCCAAAAAAAAAGTTACTTGAAACTCAAATTGCAGTGTCCAGAAGTGTAACATTTTATTGAAACAGAGCCCCCTGCATGGTGACAAATGGTCTGTATTTGTCATTGTTTAGAGAAGAGGTTCTGTCTGACCCACAGATCTTAAAGTCTTTACTTTGCCCTGTACAGAGAAAAGTGCAATGGCAGGCACAGGCTTTGACCTTTGGAAGGTGGTTGATGAATGAACTTGATACATCCCAAGATTCATGGGCGTCTTCTTTTTGTGAAATTGTTATTTCTTCTCTTTTTGCAGCAATTCAGTTGAACCCCAGCTACATCAGAGCAATATTGAGGAGAGCGGAGTTGTACGAGAAAACAGACAAACTAGATGAAGCCCTGGAAGACTATAAGACTGTATTAGAGAAGGATCCATCAGTACACCAAGCAAGAGAAGCTTGTATGGTAAGACCTATATTTTTTTAAATGTTTTTTCTTCTTCTCTGATAGTGAATATTAAATAATCCTGTGGGACACAACTAAATTCCACATTTAACCTTTAGCAAAATATGTGGGAGCTGGGTCTTTGAAGTGGTGGCCACAAGTGCGCCATGACTGTGCTATTTAACAGGCATTCTGAGAGCCGTGGGTGTCCCCATGACCCTCTGGAGTGATAGGAACTGCCTTTCACCATTGCTCGGGGAAATCATATCCACTGTAGTTACAGAGATCGGGTCCGTGCGATTCGTAGCATTATAGACGGGACATTTGCTCTGGTTTCTGCCCATCCTTTCCCTCATTCAGGCACCAGGCCTCGGTCCTGTCATCATATGTGCTGCGCAGTTCCAGCTGAGCACATCCTAAGCCTGACCTTGATGAAAGTGCCTGTCATTCTTGTCCTTGGCATTGACAGTCTTTCTGCTTCAGAAGCTCATACTTATTTTTACCTCAGGTGTAAATTATCTAAACATTGTTGATTCCTCCCCCCATTTAAAATTAACTTCATATTTATGCTTATTTATTCACTTATGTTGCAGTGCTGGAAACTGAATCCAAGGCCTTCACACTGAGCTACATCTCTGGCCCTTTTACTTATTTTTTATATTGAGTCACGGTTTTGCTGAACTACTAAGTTGTCCAGACTAGATTTTAATTTGTGATCCTCCTGCCTTGGCTTCCCAGAGTTCTGGAATTGCAGGCATGTCCCATCACACCTAGCTAAACTTTGACTTTTATCACCACTTTTTTATTAATTCGTAAAGCAGCATATATGCTAATTATGTGCTACAATGAGATATTTATATGTTATTACCAAAACATAATGGCTTGTTATGGCTTGTGTCTAGATGTCCCCCAAAGCCTTATGCAGTTATAGGCTATAGGTGGGGATTTTTCAGAGGTGGCTGAATCTAGTCTGTGTGATTGATTCATGGTACAGTGTTACGGTTAAGGGTGCTAGGAATAAGGGTGGGTGATTACTAAATCAGTACACTGATTGGTTTCGCACCACACCAATCCCCTGGTTACAGTGTGAGGGACAGAAAGAGGCTTGTCTTGCCCACTTGCTTGCTTTGCTACCTTCTGCCCACCATAAACTGTTTCTTCTCTGTGAGGCCCCTCTGCCGTGCCACCCTGCCTTGGAGCCAGCTGATTATGGACTGAAACAGACAAACTGTGAGCCAAATAAAACTTTTCTCCCTTAACTGTGGGTGCTGAGTATTTTGCCCCACAACAAGAAAAGTAAGTAGGACAGAATTTGGAGCCAGAGAAGTGAGGTTATTGCTGTGACTGCCCCTGACCGTGTGGTTTAGGAGACTTTTTGACTGGCCTATGGGAAGGTGGAGAGTTGGAAAAGGTTTGGATATGCCAGCAGAAAAGGCAGAGCTCTGACACCTTAGGTTGTTCTTTAATGGAAGATTCTGGTCAGAGATAAGAAGACCAGAAGACAGATACAAATCCTGCCAGTAAAGACCAGACATGAGAGGTTTCTGCTGGGAAGAGTGTGTGCTTGGCACAAAGTGTCTGCGTTTTGCTCCTGTCCAGAGACTTTGCCTCAGGCTAAGGGACTGAGGTTAAAGGGGGTGGACTAATTAATCTTGTAGAAGAAATTTCAAGGCCGAGTAATGTTGAGGTGGTGGCATGGCTACTGTTAGGGGCTTTTAGCCAGATCCATGTTGAGAATCAAAAGCAAAGAGCCCAGCAAAATTATTTAAAATACTGTGAATTTGACCAGAAAGGAGGCTTCAGTAAAATTGTGCCTACACAGATATAATAGAGGAGACATTGGTTGTTGAAAAAACCCAAGTATTTCAGGAGGACACAACAGAAAAGATGGCCTGAGGACATAACAGGAACCAGTAGGACTCCAGCACTTGCAGCCTCAGAGTTGCAAAGGTGATAGACTTTGCTTTGCATAGAGCCCTAGAGCGCGATGTTCCAGAATGGCAGCAGCCTAGGGAGGTTATTCCTCCAGATTTGGTCTGTAGGTGCTTGGACTCTATAGCCAAAAGGGAAGCCTGGCTACTGCTCCAGTCGGTGGCAAACCTGGTGCCACTTGGTGCTGGTGTTAGGCACATGCAGAACGCAAGAGTTACGGGATGAGGAAGGCTTCCACCAGATTTCAGAAGCAGGCCTGGAGGCCGGGCAGAGTGCCCCTGATAGGGCATTGTGTGAAGTTGTGAGTGTGAAGGCACAGTAGAGAACCCAGAAGTTTGAAGAAACCAGGAATGTGGATCATCTGAGGAAAACTGCAAGGAGGGAGCAGAGTTGGCCCGAGAGAAAGAAGCCATGGGAGCTACAATCACAGGCAGTGCCGTAGGGGTGGGGCCATCCAAGCAATGGAGTTCACAGATTGCCTTGGGCACTGAATGTCTTCGTCACTTTTCTCTCATTGCTGAGAAAAGTGTACCCTACAACCAAAGGTAAAGGGGAAAGGGTTTATTTAGTTCACAATTCGTAGAGGTTTCATCAATAGTCAGCTGACTCCAAGGTAGGGTTGGCATAGCAGACAGACATCACAAAGGAGAAACAGTTCATGGCGAGCAGTTTGTCACCAGAATCATGGAAAGAATTGAGTTGGTGAGCCGGGCGTGGTGGCTCATGCCTGTAATCTTAGCACTGGGGAGGCTGAGGCAGGAGGATTGCTGTGAGTTCGAGACCAGCCTGGGGTACATAGTGAGTTCCAGGTCAGTCTCAACTACATAGTGAGACCGTCTCAAAAAACCAAAAAAAAAAA